ATCGCCACCTTCATTAGCATCTTCATTCCCCTGGGCGCCTCATTACTACCGTCATCATCATCATCATCTTTTCATTATCATCATTATCATTATTATTACTGTCATTAGCGACACAAGCAAAATATTATTATAATGTGCTAAATGTTGCCCACATCTGCATTTTCTGCAATCCCGAGCAATGGTCAGCAACAGCAGCAGCAGCAACAGCAACAGCAGCAGCAATCATCTGGCGGCGTTGTTGTGGTCACCGCAACCGCAATCGCTAACCATAACAACAACAGCAACAACAATACCGGGGTTACCGCCGACAATAGCGCCAGTAATGGTTGCGGTGGCCCAGAAACAAGCAGCAGCACCGGGGCTGGTATTTGTGGCACTAATTACACTCAGGTTATAAAGCCAACCTGTCAGGCATTCCAGGAACTCGGCGAACGATGGCCCCCAGTGATGCCGCAACCCTCGATGGCGCCGTATCCCTCGCATTCAGCCGCGGCCACTGCTTCGCCGTTCCAGTTGCTCTTTCCACCACCGCAGCCAGAATGGCCCGGTTATCACCACCATCACCACCACCATCACATCCATCATCAGCTACAGCAACATCACCAGCAGCAACAGCAACAACAGCAGCAACAGCAGCAGCAACAACAGCAACAGCAGCAGCAACAGCAGCTCTCACTGATGTCCTCAATCCCGCAAGCTGCTACCGCGGCGCATCATAGTCTCATGGAGCTGAAACAGGAGCCAGAACGTCCGGATGTCATTCAACGCCTTTCCACAGCTGCACCCTCCTCCTGGCCCTACGCGTTTGCGCAGGATGATATGGCGCTCAGTTCGTCGCATTTGCCCGATGATGCAGATCCGGCGAGTTCCGAAGATTTGGAAGCGTTCGCGAAAACATTCAAGCAGCGTCGCATCAAGCTCGGCTACACACAGGCGGATGTGGGCCTGGCTCTGGGCACTCTGTACGGCAACGTATTCAGTCAAACGACCATCTGCCGCTTCGAGGCGTTGCAACTGAGCTACAAGAACATGTGCAAGCTGAAGCCGCTGCTGCACAAATGGCTGGAGGAGGCCGATTCTACTAGCTCGTCGCCGAATAGCGCCT